CCGAAAATTCGTGTACCAGAACAGAAAGATAGCATGGTTACTGTATCATTATAATATGGGTTTATGATAACCATCATAAAACATTGCCAAATCGTAGGGGGAAGGCGTAGTGAAAGAGATGCAGAATAAAGAAATAAGTTGAATCAAGTTTGTCATTATTGTCACATCTGGACTCTTTACAGGACAGTCGTGTACTGGGACTGTGAAATTGCATGGTTACGGTATCCCCATAATATGGGTATGTAATAACCATCAAAACAAAGGCAAACCATCAATATACAGGCAGATCGTAGGGAAAAAGCGTATTGGGTTTTATTAGTAAGAGTTGTACGTGTCATATATACGTGATGAAATTTCAAAATTAACTCCATTCTTCAGTTTCGTGTAATGGCATTAAAGTACGGTCTAAATCGCAAGGGTAGAATGCACAAGATTTTTACGTCATCCTCATAATAAAACCAACTTTGAGTAAAGAGTGGTAAGGTAAGAGTGGATATGTGAGTTGGCTAATTAGTCTCAGTATAAACTTCAACTCTACCAAAGCCGTGTTCAAAAAAGAAAATAGTTTTTTATTCTGAGTTCTGTTTCCAACAATGAACAACTGGGTCCTCACTGTCCCAGGGGCTGTAACAGTTTAGACACTTCTCGAGTACGGTCTAAATCACTAGGGTAGAATGCACAAGATTTTTACGTCATCCTCATAATAAAACCAACTTTGAGTAAAGAGTGGTAAGGTAAGAGTGGATGTGTGAGTTGGCTAATTAGTCTCGGTATAAACTTCGACTCTACCAAAGCCGTGTTCAAAAAATAAAATAGTTTTTTATTCTGCGTGCTTTTTAAAACGTTTTTTAATTCTAGAACTGCTTTTTTCATAATGGCTATTCCCATAATATGGGTATACGTTATCCATGCTATTTTACAGATGTGTTATTAGGCAATAAAAGTGCACCAATTGCACAGAAATGCATCCTAGTATGAACAACTAAGAACTAACTTTCCCTCTAGGAAGTGAAACAATTATAGTCTCTGATGATATCGTAGGATATGGCAAATTTTCCCATGAACAGAGTACCACTATCTCTTCCATCATACTGCAAGTTGGTTCTACAGGATAGATTGGAGCATGGTCTGTAATAGAGTTTAAAAACAATTAAGACAGGCATATAAGCAAAACTCATTACCACAATTAACTAAAAATTGACACAACAAACCTGCATAGAAACATTTCAACAATATCCTTTATAGTAATCATTGCTTTACATATATTAACATGTAAATAATTGCTATACACTAAATCCATAACCACAGTCACAATGGTTGCTGAGTACACAGAAACATTTAAATTTCATTGACAATGAAATGACAGGAGTGCAGTTACAAAATTGTCCAATATTTTCAGAATATTACTACACCCTACACACTACAAATTGTTATCAACTGAAAATCATTTTCAATGAAAAGGACAAATGTTTAAATAGTATTATTGTTGGCATTTAATACTTACATCAAAATAAAAAATTATTAACTTGTTTCAAAAAGCAAAAAAAAGGGAAAAAAGGAAACAAAAAGAAACATATCAGAAATCCATTTTACATCTACTGTACATATAGCAAAGAAGTTTAAAGTTGCTCTTTTTCTTGTTCTTGAATGTCTTAACAAACTGTAGTTGTCTTTTAATATAATCAAGGGAGGTCACTGTTAATTGATTCTTGAAGGGAATCAATTGAAGTACCTGCATGTGTACCTTTTTCCATTAATTTCTTTTTCTAAGTGGAAAAAGACAAGTAGCTGGAAGTATCACCAACAGTATTTAAAAAGAAGCCCTTCTATGTATACATGCAATCAACAGATGACAAAAAATGCATTGATGGAGACAGAAATATCCAAAAAAATTCAAGATAGCAATACCAAAGCAATTAGCACTTCCCAGATTTAGATCAGATGCCAATGAATTCACCAGTGATGACTTTCTGGTATCACAGCTAAATGTGTAGAGCCAACAGGCACCTCCACCATGGATTGTATGGGTCTTCCTCTCTATGAAGACATATGTAGGATTTTTCCTAACATTAAAAGTGCATTGGACACAACTGATTAGAGTTATTTAAAATCAAAATATAATGGCACAAAGACACAAAATGTTTTCAAACAAACCTTAAGGGAGGCTTGACAACCACCACTGAAGAGGCAACTGACTCTAGTAATGTTTCCCATTACACAGTGTGCATGACCATTCAGCGAAAATATAAATTAATTTTCTTTTTTTTTTTTTTGACTGCTGGTTAAAACTGCCTTTTGGCCAGGTCACCGGCCACATACAGTGGAACTCAAATGCTAGGTGCTAGCAAGAACAGCATAAAGCTACAAGTATGACAAGTATAGATCATTTAAAAGCCTGGTTATAAATATAAAAATTAGTTATTTTGTTTTACAAAAGCCTATTTACCTAGGGCTGATAAAAGTGTACATAGACAGTGACCCAGCTAATTGCATCACTACACCCTAGCTAAAAACTACAACAACAAAATTGAAATAGTCAGGAACTTTACACCAGTCTTCTCGTATAAATCCAAATCAAACAAGAAAATTGACAACGGTGCAGATGAATAAAGTATCAAATACCAGTAATACCTATAATTAAGAAGATCGAAATACCCATCAAAAGCTTGTGTTGACCGTTACTAAACTTGGGAAGGCAAAACCTCTCGTAATCTAGCATGGTTACGGCTTCAAATCGACAGAGAAGCAGGACGTATTTTTGAATAATAGATGGCTGTTCCTGTGATGTTTGAGTTCCTGAACTTTCAG